TTTTTTTTTTTTTTTTTTGAGACAGAGTCTCGCTTTGTTGCCCAGGCTAGAGTGAGTGCCGTGGCATCCTAGCTCACAGCAACCTCAAACTCCTGGGCTCGAGTGATCCTTCTGCCTCAGCCTCCCGAGTAGCTGGGACTACAGGCATGTGCCACTATGCCCGGCTAATTTTTTATATATATATATCAGTTGGCCAATTAATTTCTTTCTGTTTATAGTAGAGACGGGGTCTCGCTCTTGCTCAGGCTGGTTTTGAACTCCTGACCTTGAGCAATCCGCCCGCCTCGGCCTCCCAAGAGCTAGGATTACAGGCGTGAGCCACAGTGCCCGGCCTGAATGTCCTTTTTTTGATTGATTGATTGGTTGATTGAGACAGAGTCTCACTGTGTTGCCTGGGCTAGAGTGCTGTGGCATCAGCCTAGCTCACAGTAACCTCAAACTCCTGTGCTCAGGCGATCCTTCTGCCTCAGCCTCCCAAGTAGCTGGGACTATAGGCATGCGCTGGGTAATTTTTTCTATATATATTTTTAGCTGTCCAACTAATTTCTTTCTATTTTTTTAGTAGAGACGGGGGTCTCACTCTTGCTCAGGCTGGTCTCGAACTCCTGAGCTCAAACGATCCTCCTGCCTCGGCCTCCCAGAGTGCTAGGATTACAGGTGTGAGCCACCATGCTCAGCCTGAATGTCCTCTTATATTTGTTTAATTGGTAAAATAGTCAGAATGGCAGTGTTGTCCGCAGTAGTGTCTACTTAAGATGTGGAAAAGATCAAAATCAGCATGTGCTTCTCACAACACAGTGAACTACTGGGCCCCTCACACTGAAACAAGACACAGTGTATGAACACATACACAGAAATGCTGGGTAAAATGAAACAAAGGCACAAGGGAGATAGGGAGTGACGTCAAGGAGTTGGAACTGTATAAAGTGGAGACCTAGTAGATAAGATAGGGCTGTTGCCTCAGTCAAAGGGAGGCTAGAAAACTCCTGACCCCCAATCCCTTTAGGAAGGAGAAAAGGACACTTTTCTGTGCTCAGGGTTTTGGGCCCCAGAGTAGAATTAAGCAATTTTAGGACACTTCTGACAGGGTAGGGTGAAAAAATTTGCTTCAAGGTTTGCAAGTAAGAAAACTTTCCAAGGTACTAAGAATTGAGAGGCCCGCCCTATCTACCTTGAGCTGCCATAGGCAGATTATTTTCAAATGATAATGAAGAAAATGAAGCTTTCCCTGTCTAGTAGGGTAGCCACTAACCACACATGGCTATTTAAAGTTAAACTAATTAAAATAAACAACTCAGTTCCTCAGTCGCATTAGCCTCATGTTGATAGCTAGTGAGTGGCTAGTGACGGCCATATTGGACAGTACAAATATTGAACATTTTCATCATGGAAGGAAGTTCTGTTGGACAGCACTGAAGTTTGCCAGTGGTGTCAGATTTTGAAAGAACTTTGATAGAAGGTGGTAGCAGTTTTAGCATTTGCTTGAGGGAACAGGGTCTGTGATATGTCATGGGATTTAACAAGTGCTTGAGATACACAGCACACATTGCCGGGCAATTTACTTTTGCCCTGCCTTGGTGGCTTCTCATTAGGCCCTAAGGCATAGGAGGCCTGTCCCTTGTTCATAAAGTTAACATCATAGATGCAGAGACAGACACGGGGACTTTATGAGGATGACCAGAATACAGTCCATGGCACTTTCTAGAAGAGGGAATCCTTACTGGCAAGAGCTAGGATATTTAAGTACTTAATGACTCACCCTGCTAAATTTGATCAGCCCATAGGAAAGCTCCAGGGCAGATGTAAGATAACAAGGTAATTACTTAACCTACTGTAGGTAGAAAGGAAAGCAGGAAGCTTAAAGTGAAAAGAACGTGACACACTGCAGAACTTGCTCTCTCTTTTGAGATCTGTCAGAGCACCTAGACTCTCTTACCCGAGACTCAGGCTCAGTTTAGGGGCCTCAGCCATGTCTCTCCTCCTTTCCCATCCTTTAAAACACACCCACACTCACATCTCTTTCTGGGTATTTCATCTTTTCCTGATTGCAGAGTTTTTCTTAGCTGTAGCTAGAAAAGATCCCCCACTGTTTCTCACTGTGTCAGAAAATGTCTTAGGTGGTAATGAATTGGCTCTCAGCAAAATGTGGTCTGATTTTTTTAATCAGGGTTAATTATAGGAGTGAGGAAATAGAATGCACTTATGGGCTTCAGCATTCATGAGAAGTCTGACTCTTGTTTTTTTGGTGTAGGAATTTTCTAAATGGGAATAGAATTGAGCTTTAGATTTTCATTTCAAAATACAGACCTTATTTTTGCTTATCACGATTTTTACATCTTTTTATAAAATAAGTGTAAAGAACGAAAAGTTCGGAATACCTTGTGTAGACCTTTTGTTTTTGGCCTCAAAAAGACAAGGACTGCACTATTGTTTTCAATCTGGTGAATGACATTGTTAGAGATTAAATCATTAACAAATAACTCACTAAGATGGTCTGAAACTATTATTCCCCTTTGGCTGATTAATTAAATCTGAATTTTCAACTAAGAAGCCATGGAATTTACTTGAATTTATTTTCGTATTCTACTTTCAAATGAAATGGAATAAGAAAACTAAATCAGATAAATTTTATTAAAAAAAAAATTTCTTGGAATTTGCACGGATACCTGAGGCCCAGGACATATTCCACCTGACTTTCTACAGTCCAGTTTCAATTTTCAGCAGTGAAGGTTGAAACAAGTTCTGCAGGGCTCCACGGTGTCTCCTGGTAGCCCATTATAAGGAGATGCATTTTATGCCAGGTTTAAGCACTTCATCAAGGTAATGACCTCCACATCCTGTTAAGATCCTTGTTTCTTTGCCAGTCTTAAAAAAACCGTGGTGTTGCAAGAGCTCTTCACCTTGACCAAGCCACTAATGACACAATTGAGACTAGGCATCGTTTATTTTCAGTGAGTTTGTCATAATGCAGTGATTGCCTATAGATGACTGGCTGTCAAGCAGGGGATGAGTTTCCTCCCCTGAAAGTGGGTGCCTTTGTATTTGTCACCTTCGTCCAGTGCTGTGGGTGGCTCACCCTCTCACCTCTACTCCCCACCATCAGGGTTAGAAGAGGCTTCCTCCTTCCTAGCGCTATTTGCCTGTTCTTTGGGGGTTGTCCTGATTGGTGCTTTAAATTTTATAATTTACAAGAAAAAAAAACCTGTGCTCTGCCCAACATTCTGAAAGCTGAATTTCTTCACTTAAAAGGCTAAGTAAAGTGGTTAAATCAGGAGTCATTAGGGTTAAATAAGAGTTTATGGGCGTTTGCTTCATCAATCTCAGTGCTCTTTGCAGATGTTAGTATTTCCCTACAGAAAGCATTGTAACTTGTAACAGGTTCCGACTGCAGTCTTGGAAGCAGGTGAGCCAGCAGTGGAAAAAGACTCACCAGATTAAGTCAGAAGTGTAGCGTATCCCAGCTGTACCTCCTGCCGTTTTACTGTTGAATGCTACTGTGTTTGAGAACACAGGACTCGCACGATGTTGTGTTATGCGTGTAGTGAGTTCTCATTTTCTTTGTGTTCAGGTTAGATTTGCCAAGCCCCTTTTCTGGGTCTCTCTTCCCTTGTCATTTAGTGTCCTCTGCTGGTAGTTTTTAGTACATTCACCCCGTCGAAAATAGTATTTACAAAAGAATGGAATCAGAAAATCATAATTCGGCAGCCACTCTAGTAATAATTGGTTCAGGTAATAATCTTCTAGATGCTAAAACCACTAGTAAAGGTTTGTTTTGGGATTAGGACCTTTACCCAGTTTCAGTGGACTACCCCACGGCCTGCTTAGTAATTTCAAAGGGGAGAGATCTAGTGAGTACCGCTTTAATCAAGTGACCATACACTTAGCATCACCAATAATAGGACAGATGCACATCTTCTATTCCTGATGTCATGCCTGTGTAATATATGTCAACCTGACTCTAATCATGATGAGATCAGGTAAACCCACAGGAGGGGGGTGTCTTTTTTTTGTTTTGTTTTGTTTTTTTTTTTTTTTAGCAGAACATCTGGTTTACACTTTTCAGAGATATAAATGTCATGAAACATACCAGGCAAAAAAAGAATGTTCTGGGCCCCAGCACAGTGGCTTACGCCTATAATCATGCACTCTGGGAGGTTGAGGTGGGACGATTACTTGAGGTCAGGAGTTGAAGACCAACCTGAGCAAGAGCGAGACCTGTCTCCATTAGAAATGGAAAAATCAGCTGGGCATGGTGGCATGCATCTATAGTCCCAACAACTTGGGAGGCTGAGGCAGGAGGATATCTTGAGCCCAGGAGTTTGAGGTTGTAGTGAGTTCTGAAGATGCCACTGCACTCTACCCAGGGTGACACAGAGAAATCCTGTCTCCCAAAAAAACTAAAAAAGGTTCTAGGTTACATGAAGCTAAAAAAAGGAAAAAAATAGCAAAATGCATAGATGAACCTGTATTGAAGAGCAGAACAGCTATAAAGGACTTGTGTGAATGTGCTAGTGGCAACATGGTAATATAGGAGATCTTAAGAGACATAACCTGCTTGAGTATTTGATGAAGTGTGAAGTCTGCAGTGACCATTTTTCTCCTTCACCTTTTTTTTTTTTTTTGAGACCAAGTCTCGCTTTGTTCCCAGGCTAGAGTGAGTGCCGTGGCGTCAGCCTAGCTCACAGCAACCTCAAACTCTGGCTCAAACAATCCTTCTGCCCCAGCCTCCCGAGTAGCTGGATTAGGCATGTGCCACCATGCCCGGCTAATTTTTTCTATATATATTAGTTGGCAATATTTTCTTTCTATTTATAGTAGAGACGGTCTCACTCTTTGCTCAGGCTGTTTCGAATCCTGACCTCGAGCAATCCGCCGCCTGGCCTCCAGAGAGCTAGGATTACAGGCGTGAGCCACCGCGCCCGGCCTCCCTTCAGCTTTTTATTAGGAAAAATCTGAAGCATGCCAGAAAGGTTTTGAAAAAAGTAAACTCCTCTCTGTATAATACTTGTCAACATTTGGTGATGGCCATGATTGTACAAAACTATAAATCCAAGATTTGGATCATTTTGTGGTCTTCAGGAGTTTGCCTGCAGCCATAGGGCTTTCTTTAGTACCATCTTCATTCAGGTCCTGTTGTAAGGTGTATTCTAGTAAGGCACAATCCTGTTTTCCTTTTTCCAGATTACCACCCATAGTGCGAGGAGGGGCCATCGACAGATACTGGCCCACCGCTGACGGGCGCCTGGTTGAATACGACATTGATGAAGTGGTGTAATGATAAGATTCTCCGTATCAAAACATTAAATTTTACACTCAAAGCAATTTGGAAATATTCTCATTCTTAGCGGGGATGTTAGTAAGTACTCTGTCCCTGCCCCAATCGCATAACAAAGTGGTGATATGTTGGATGTTTTCCGGACAGTGCTGTTGTGGATTTGTCCAAGTTTGTCTTTGATTCTGCTGTTCTTTGAGATGTACATTTACATCATATTAACCTGTAGATTGTCTGGGCTTTCGTGTAAACTTTGTCTTGACATTGCTTCCTTATTGTTAAGTATTTAATTGTATTTCAGAAGAAAATGCAATTGCTAATTAAAAAAAGCTGTTAGGGAAAAATTCAACCTAAGAAGACAAACCAGTGATGACCCATGTGTACTCATCATTGAGCATCAACAGTTATCAATTCCTGGCCAGTCTCAGCCCTCTCATTTTGAAGCAACTCTCAGATGTCATATTTCATCTGTTGTTAAGATGTAATTTCTATTTTTTTACTTTTTTTCTTTATTTCCTTACCAAGGTTTAATAAGCATCAAAGATAGAATTTGTTTAATTATTCAGCATATCAGCACATTTCTTTTTGTTTCTTTTTTTCAAGGTCAACTTTCAGAAGCAAGCACATTCTTCTTCTTCTTTTTTTTTTTTTTTTTTTTTTTTTTGAGACGGAGTCTCACTCTATTGCCCAGGCTAGAGTAAGTGCCGTGGCGTCAGCCTAGCTCACAGCAACCTCAAACTCCTGGGCTCAAGCAATCCTTCTGCCTCAGCCTCCCGAGTAGCTGGGACTACAGTCATGCGCCACCATGCCCAGCTAATTTTTTCTATATATTTTTAGTTAGCCAATTAATTTCTTTCTATTTTTAGTAGAGATGGGGTTTCACTCTTGCTCAGGCTGGTTTCGAACTCCTGACCTTGAGCGATCTGCCTGCCTTGGCCTCCCAGAGTGCTAGGATTATAGGCGTGAGCCCCCACGCCCGGCCTGCAAGCACATTTAAGGCTAGATTTTCTTACCATCAACTAGCGTCCATTTGTATTAGGTGTCTGATGATCAGGGTTGATGAAAAGTCCTTAATCCTGAAAAAAAATCTTTATACATTGTTGACAGTTTTTAAAAATTGAAAATGAAGATTTTACATTTTGGGCTAACTTCTAGCACTTTCTAGTGTGGTGAGGCCAGGTAGTTTGTGTGTTCTGGTGGAGTCACCAGTTTGGATCTTTGTTTCTCTTTTCTAGATTTGGCAGAGAGTGACTTGGCGTATACCCGGGCCATCATGGGCAGTGGCAAAGAAGATTACACTGGCAAAGACGTACTGATTCTGGGAGGTGGAGATGGGGGCATATTATGTGAAATAGTCAAACTGAAACCAAAGATGGTCACTATGGTAGAGATATCCTTTGTTGTATAAGAGAACGAATGAGTTCAGTGGGCTGCTTTTCCTTCCTTCCTTTAGTGTCTTAATGAGACTCAAGTTACCACAGACTCTAGGCAAATGTGTTATAAAGACTACCTTGAACAGACATTTCTATTTAGTACCAGTAGATTTTTTTTTTTTTTTTTTGAGACTGAATCTCACTCTGTTGCCCGGGCTAGAGTGCTGTGGCATCAGCCTAGCTCACAGCAATCTCAAACTCATGGGCTCAAGCAGTCCTCCTGCCTCAGCCTCCTGAGTAGCTGGGACTACAGCATGTGTCACCATGCCTGGCTAATTTTGGCTATATATTTTTAGTTGTCCAGCTAATTTATTTCTATTTTTAGTAGAGACACGGGGTCTTATTCTTGCTCAGGCTGGTCTCGAACTCCTGAGCTCAACGCTCCTCCCGCCTCAGCCTCCCAGAGTGCTAGGATTACAGGCGTGAGCCACTGCACCCAGCCATACGGTAGATTTTTATGTGACCACCAAGAAAGAAGTGGGGATAATCTAGTTCAGGATTAAAGAGCAAGCGACTACCATGTCTACTACTCAGCAGTTTCCGAAATGGCTTCCTCAAGCCATCTCATGAGAAGAAAAGAAAATTCAAGTTCTTTTGAGTGTCCTTAGTGTGAAAATAAAATCACTGTCTCATTTTTTAAATTGTGACACCCAAATTAGTATTATAAAACCTTTGTTTGTCTTAACCTTTTATTTATTTATTTATTTATTTTTAAAATTTGAATTGGTTAAGATTGTTTTCTTGGCCTTCCTCTGCTTTTTTTTTTTTTTTTTTTGAGACGGAGTCTTGCTCTGTTGCCCGAGCTAGAGTGCAGTGGCATCATCCTAGCTCACAGGAACCTCAGACTCCTGGGCTTAAGCTGTACTCCTGCCTCAGCTTCCTGAGTAGCTGGGATTATAGGTTCACACCACCACGCCCAGCTAATTTTTTCTATTTTTAGTAGAGAAAAGGGGTCTTGCTCTTGCTCAGACTGGTCTCGAACTCCTGAGCTCAAGTGATCCTCCTGCCTCAGCCTTCCAGAGTTGCTAGGATTACAGGCGTGAGCCACCTCGCCTGACGTTAACTTTTTATTTAAAGTACTGCTATTTCAGAATTCTCTGATACACCCAAATTATCCTTAACCTGTTTCGGACATTGACCAAATGGTGATTGATGGATGTAAGAAATATATGCGAAAAACGTGCGGTGATGTCTTAGACAATCTTAAAGGAGACTGCTATCAGGTAATTATGTTTTCTGGATAATGTATTTTTAAGTGCGCTGATAATATAATTTAAGTTATTGATCAGAATTGTGCCTTCTTAAAACAGCTTTTATTATAATTGGTTAAGAATATAAATAGGTTGTCTCTTTGTATGAATCGTATGTATATTTGTATTTAGGGTGGATGTGTAAAAATGATAAGAAACCACCAACTCTATATATAGAACTTAAAATCAATAAGAAAAAAGTCAACCCCATCAATAAATAAGCAAAGAACATGAACAGAAATTTTTCAAAAGAAGACAGAATAATGGCTAGTAAACATATAAAAAAGTGTTAAGCATCTCTAATCATTAGGGAAATGCAAGTCAAAGCCACAGTGAGACATCACCTAACTCTAATTAGAATGGCTTTTATCTAAAAGTCCCAAAACAACAAATGCTGACATGAATGTGGAGAGACAGAACACTCTTAGACTGTTGGTGGGACTGCAAATTAGTGCAACCCCTATAGAAAGTAATTTCAAGATACCTCAAATAGCTAAAAATAGAAATACCATTTGATCCAGCAATCCCACTACTAGGCATCTACCCAAAGGAGAAAAAGACATTCTATAAAAAAGAGACCTGTACTTGAATGTTTAATGCACCACAATTCACAATTGCAAAGATGTGGAAACAACCCAAGTGCCCATCAATACATGAGTGGGTTAATAAAATGTGATATATGTATACCGTGAAATACTATTCAACTACAAAAGCAATGGTGAACTAACATCTCCTGTGTTACCCTGGAGAGAGCTTGAGCCCATCCTTCGAAGTGAGATATCACAAGAATGGAGAAACGTGCACCACATGTACTCGCCATCAAATTGGTACTAACTGATCAACACTAAGATGCTCACATGGTAGTAATACTCACTGGGTGCTGGTCAGGTGGGGGGGGGTAAAGTCACAACTAAAGGAAGTGCAGCACACTGTATGGGGGAAGGACACGCCTCTGGCTCTGGCTTTGGTGAGGCAAAAGCATTGTATGTAATCAAAATGTTTGTACCCCTATAATATCCTGAATTAAAAAAAACCATATAAAACTAACATAGACATTAATCAAGGATAGAGCAACAGAAAGTCTAGAGGACTTGGAGGGAGATGGATGAGGAGATGAATAATTACAGCAGATGATAAGAACGAGAAACTTCTTGGTGCTGTCCGCTTGCTTTATCCTTCACTGACTTCAGTGTCATATGTTAAATAACAAACTCAGTACTCTTGGGGGAAAACAAACCACCGACTCTATTTTTTTTTATTTTTTTATTCTTTAATTATGACTTTAATTCATACCAACTCTAGATTATCTGAACTGAGTGTTGTGAGTTCTTATGTAAAAGATGTCATATACCTTTCTATGACCTGGTAACCACCAAGTTGTCTTTTGTCTCTCTCGAATAATCTCTTTGAGCCTGGGTGTTTCAGAGGGAATTAAGGTATTTAATTGGTACGCGTGTATGATTAAAATATTTGAGGTAGGAACAATTGCTTCTTACTAATAAGCAATTAGTTCCTGTCCTAAATTCTGTAGGTGAAAGGTGATTATAGTTTGTAGGATACATTTTGTTATAGTTTGTCATTATAGTTTGTAGGATACATTTTGTGTTGTATTTTGAGAATGTGCATTTCCAGTGACTGTACCTACAGTGCTTGTTAGAGCAAGACGTCAAAGCAAATACTCCAGATTTATAAACAATTTAGATGAATGATTGAGTTTGTTAATATGTAAATTAACCCCTCAATCTTTCCTAATGTGTGTACATCAAAATTTGATTGCATGGTACATGTATGTTTTTTTTTTTTTTTAAGTTGAGAGAGGAACTCACATTAAAATGCAGTTGTCATTTGTTTCTGGGCAGAAGGGAAAAAAAGATGTGTATTATACTGTTTGAAAGCTTAAAGAGGAAGGGGGAATTAGGTTCTTCTGAGCTATGACAGAATTGTTTCACAATGAGCTCAAAGTTACTATTGTTTGCAAATGATGAGCCAGACCTTCTGCCTGCAGAGTTTAATCCTCACACCTGTACCAAGTGGGTATTATTTCTAGTATATGGGTGAAGATGATGAAGCTTAGAGCGTTTAAAGGGGATTTATTCAAGGTTGTAGGGTGACTTTAGAGGAGCGATTCAGACTCCTGACTCCCTGGCTTTTTATATGGCTTTCTTTTATGGATTAAGAAAAGACAGAACCAAAAACCCAAACCAGCAGCATACTATAGTTGTTGACTGTTGTAATAAAAGGCCAGATATAAGTGGTAGGAAGATTTACTAATGGCCTCTGAAAGCAACCTCTTGACCTGAAGCTAGGGCACCACGCGCAGATAGTGACCAAGACAGTTGAACTATTGAGACAAGGGAAAAGTAGTGTTTTTATTTAAAGAGGCACTTGTGGAAATTGGTACCTGAATGCATTCTCTTTCCTTCTCCACCTCGAAAATTCTTCTAGGGCTGAGAGCTCTCAAGGGGCGGGATGGGGGCTTGGGCTCCCTAGTATGTAGGGTTGGGTGAGAAGAGAGACCAACAGGGCCACCTTCCCTTTGGGCAGGCAAGCCCTTTGGCCATTAAAATGCGATTATACCATTAACAATACTGTCCTCCAGGCTCATCCTTGTTTCTAGGAATGACAAGATTTCCTTCTTTTTTGTGGCTGAATAATATTCTGATGTGTCTATGTGTCATGTTTTCTTTATCCATTTATCTGTTGATGGGCACTTAGGTTGATTCCATGTCTTGGCTATTGTTGATACTGCTGGAGTAAACATGGGAGTGCAGGTATCCCTTTGATACACTGATTTCAAGAGTTTCCTTTATTCCACATCCTTACCAGCAGTTATTAATATTTTGTCTTTTTGATAACAGCCATTCTAACTGGGGTGAGATACCTCATTGTGGTTATGCATTTCCCTGATGATTAGTAATGGTGAGCATTGTTTGTTGGCTATTTGTATGTTGTCATTTGAGAAATGTCTATTCAGTTTCTTTGCCCAATTTTTTTTTTTTTTTGAGACAAAGTCTCTGTTGCCTGGGCTAGAGTGCTGTGGTATCAGCTTAGCTCACAGTAACCTCATACCTGGGCTGAAGCAATCCTTCTGCCTCAGCCTCCCTAGTAGCTGGGACTACAGGCATGCGCCACCATGCCCAGCTAATTTTTTTGTAATATATATATTTTTTTGTTGTTGTTTGTTTTTTTTTTTTTTTTTTGAGGCAGAGTCTCACTTTGTTACCCAGGCTAGAATGAGTGCCATGGCGTTAGCCTAGCTCACAGCAACCTCAAACTCTTGGGCTCGAGCAATCCTGCTGCCTCAGCCTCCCGAGTAGCTGGGACTACAGGCATGTGCCACCATGCCCGGCTAGTTTTTTCTATATATATTAGTTGGCCAATTAATTTCTTTCTATTTATAGTAGAGACGGGTCTCACTCTTGCTCAGGCTGGTTTCGAACTCCTGACCTTGAGCAATCCGCCCGCCTTGGCCTCCCAGAGAGCTAGGATTACAGGCGTGAGCCACCGCGCCCGGCCTCCCTTCAGCTTTTTATTAGGAAAAATCTGAAGCATGCCAGAAAGGTTTTGAAAAAAGTAAACTCCTCTCTGTATAATACTTGTCAACATTTGGTGATGGCCATGATTGTACAAAACTATAAATCCAAGCTTTGGATTCATTTTGTGGTCTTCAGGAGTTTGCCTGCAGCCATAGGGCTTTCTTTAGTACCATCTTCATTCCAGGTCCTGTTGTAAGGGTGTATTCTAGTAAGGCACAATCCTGTTTTCCTCTTTTTCCAGATTACCACCCATAGTGCGAGGAGGGGCCATCGACAGATACTGGCCCACCGCTGACGGGCGCCTGGTTGAATACGACATTGATGAAGTGGTGTATGATGAAGATTCTCCGTATCAAAACATTAAAATTTTACACTCAAAGCAATTTGGAAATATTCTCATTCTTAGCGGGGATGTTAGTAAGTACTCTGTCCCTGCCCCAATCGCATAACAAAGTGGTGATATGTTGGATGTTTTCCGGACAGTGCTGTTGTGGATTTGTCCAAGTTTGTCTTTGATTCTGCTGTTCTTTGAGATGTACATTTACATCATATTAACCTGTAGATTGTCTGGGCTTTCGTGTAAACTTTGTCTTGACATTGCTTCCTTATTGTTAAGTATTTGAATTGTATTTCAGAAGAAAATGCAATTGCTAATTAAAAAAAGCTGTTAGGGAAAAATTCAAACCTAAGAAGACAAACCAGTGATGAACCCATGTGTACTCATCATTGAGCATCAACAGTTATCAATTCCTGGCCAGTCTCAGCCCTCTCATTTTGAAGCAACTCTCAGATGTCATATTTCATCTGTTGTTAAGATGTAATTTCTATTTGTTTTACTTTTTTTTCTTTATTTCCTTACCAAGGTTTAATAAGCATCAAAGATATAATTTGTTTTAATTATTCAGCATATCAGCACATTTCTTTTTTGTTTTTTTTCAAGGTCAACTTTCAGAAGCAAGCACATTTCTTCTTTTTTTTTTTTTTTTTTTTTTTTTTGAGACAGAGTCTCACTCTATTGCCCAGGCTAGAGTAAGTGCCGTGGCGTCAGCCTAGCTCACAGCAACCTCAAACTCTGGGCTCAAGCAATCCTTCTGCCTCAGCTCCCTAGTAGCTGGGACTACAGTCATGCGCCACCATGCCCAGCTAATTTTTCTTAATAATATTTAGATATAGACAGGATATAATTCTTTTATTTTTAGTACGAGATGGGGTATCATAGTTCGCTACAGGCTGGTTATCTCGGATCCATGTCATGTGAAGTCGAGTCTGACCTTATGGCCCTGCTAGAAGTGTCTGTAGAGTTACTAGATCGGTGAGCCCCCCCGACGGCGGCTGCAGCACTTATAGGTACAGATTTACGGATTACATTTTTGTTAGCGTCCATTTGTTAGGTGTCTGATGATCAGGGTTGATGAAGGTTGATCTTAATCCTGAAAT